AGTCCTGCTGATTGCCCTCATATCCTTTGAGTGTTCTCTGGTGTCCTCTGGGTCACTTTCCTTCCACATGGCTTTCACACACCGAGAGCATTTCCTCTCCTGCCCAGTGTCCGCCCCTCCATCAAGTCCACCTGGGAACTCCTGGAGATGGTGGACTATGCTGGGCCCCCAGGTCTTCCCAGACACACCCAGCTTATGGGCCTTTACCCCCTCCTACCCCTTCTTTCACCCCTCACCTGTGACCCCTCTACTGGTTTACATCGTGTTTTGGGAGTAGAGGGCTCCCCTTCCCACCTTCATGAGATAAGCCTTTTTGTACACGTAAAATACTATTGCACACTTACTGGGCTACAGTGTAGTGTGAACATAGTTTTTAATGCACTGGGAAACAAAGAATTCCCATCACTTGCTTTTTTGTAATATTCTCTATATGGCCGTGATCTGGGAAGCAAGCCACACTCTCTGAGGTGTGCCTGTGCTTTGAGAACTAGATAGTTGATGGAACCACTGGCAACACTGGCTGCCACACATCTTCCACACATTGATCTTCTCACCTGGAATCCTTATAACCAGCAGATTCCCTGGGCTGGAAGCATGGCCACACACTCCTCTTACCTTCAAGATTCCTTACTCTAGAACTCTCTGACCTAACCTCCTTTATCCTTCCATTTCCCCTACATGACTGGAAGGGCATGGATGATTCTTTCCACATGAAGGTGAGACCTGTTAGCCAAGACCACATGACGACTTAGGGTCTGGTTCTGTAAGGTCTGGCTGCGTCTCTCATAATTGTTCTTTTCCTCCCAGCAAGGGTTTTGAAAAATCACAGTTTTCAAATAAGCTCACGAATTAGATTCTTGAGGTCAGATTCTTGACATCAGTAGATTGCAAAGGGGCCTGATTTTGCCGCTCCCCCTCCTCCGCCCCAAAGACATTTGGCAATGTTAGGAGACAATGTCATGACCTGGGGGGGAGGCGGGGAGGTTTTAGGCAAGTAGAGGGTAGGGACTAGGATGCTTTTAACCAGCCTACAAAGCACGGGACAGCCCTACAACCAGAACTTACCCTTCTCAAAATGTTAACAGTACTGAGATTGAGAAACCCTGCTTTTGATTATAGTCTGCCACAGTCTCTCTGCCTTCAGCAAGTAGTCTGTCCCCATTGTTCACTGATAAAATCCCTCAAGAGTCCCTGGTTCTCCTCTTCTAGAATCACATTCTCAGAAAGTTCTCCTTCCTGTCTAGCTCCAGTATCTCCTGTTTCTAGCCAAAGTAGATTTCCTACCGTTTAGCCATCTGAAAAATGGGAAGCTGAGAGTCCTAAGACTGTCGTGAGCATATTTGCACATTGTTGCTCACTAACCAGTCATTTTGCTATCAAGCTCCCATCCCGTTTGAGCACAGACCCAGCACTCATGTTCCTCCGATGCTGTGACAGTGCTCATCCCTTCTCATTTGCTGTTTCTCACTTCTCTGTGTGTGTATGTACACTTGTATGTCTGTGTGTCTCTCTCTGTCCTCCAGGTCTCCAGGCCCTGACTTGGCTTTCCTGACTTCCTGTCCTGACAAGAACAAAGTTCATTTCAACCCGACCGGCTCGGCCTTCTGCCCCGTCAGCTTGATGAAGCCTCTCTTCCCCAGCATGGGCTTCATCTTCCGTAACTGCCCCTCAAGCCCAGGGTCCCCCCTGCCCCCCACCAGCCCCAGGCCACCACCTCGGAAGGATCCAGAAGCTTCCAAGGCCTCCTCCCTGCCATTTGAGCCGTGGCAGCGCACCCCACCCTCAGAAGAGCCCGTGCTTTTCCAGAGCTCCCTGGTGGTCTGAGGGCCCCACCCCCACCACTTTCCCGTGGAGAGCAGTGCCTTGGTGGCAGGCCCCTCCCTAGTTCCCCTGAGGTGGGGACGAAGGAGCCCTTCCTTCTCGGCCTTCGAGCACTTTCATTTATCGTGTCAAAGCTCTAGGTCCTCTTTCTGATGGACACTAGCCCCTCTGACTGAGGGAACCTGCCTTTTCCACTAGCAGCTGGGCAGCTCACAAGTCACACCTGTGTTCTTGCCACCTTTCTCACTTGGTGGAAAACACACCCAGAAGGTCCTGGGTCCCCTGCCCCTGGGTCTGAGTCCAAAGGACTGTACATGGGGCTCTTGTCCTTGTCATGGAGCAAGTTGGCCACGATCGAAGGAGAGGGAATACCACCGATTCCCTTCCCTCTCCTCCACAGACACAGAAGAGGAGACCGGAAGATAGATACCCCCATCCTCCCAACCCCCGCCCCCCCAACCTCCCCCTGATTGGAGGACCTGACCAAAGCAGCCCGAAAGGGCCATAACACTTGACCAATCCAGCTGCTGGCAGAGGGGGGAACCAAGCGTTTTCCCAAGTGGCATTTTCATCTCGCTTTCACCCTGACAAAGATTGTCTTAAGCAGCAGCCCAGCCTGCTCAGCCCCAGGTGGGTGATGGGGAAGAGGGAGAGCTGGCATTCCTCCAGGTGGCAAGTGGTGACTCTGCACCCTCCACCTGCCCCAGGACTGGGTTGGATTAGAAAAATGCCTATTTTCTTGTATCGATGTAGAAACTCTATTTTCTCCCAAAGACACTATTTTTGCAGCTATTTGAAGTTTGTATATTTTCCGTATTGCAGAGCTTACACAAAATTGAAGAATGTTAATGTTCCAGTTTTCTTATCCTGTGTTTAGAGGTTTTTGTTTTTTTTTTTTTTTTTTTTTTGCAGATCTTGGTGTTAATAAACTAAATAAATAAGTATTCCCAACAGCTTGAAGTTCCGTTAAATATTTTTGGAAGGAGGGAGCGGAATGGAGATGTATTGATCCCTTAGTCCTTGTTTTCAAGAGGGGCCTTTACTTACCCATGTAATGATGTGGATGTGGGTGCTGTACAGGTGGACACAGGGTCCTTGTCCTCAGCCCACCAGGCTTGGACTCCTTACATAGATATTTAAACAGCAGATCCAAGTAAAGGATGTCTGTGATAAAGAAGGGGTGTGTATCCTGGGGGTGTGTGGATGAAGAGACACTGGGGAAGTCATCCATTCTTGGGTGAATTTGGGAAAACTTCCTAAGGAGGATGAGTTCATAGAGGAAGTGAGGTGCCAAGGGGAGAGGGTTTGACATTGTGGGTACTTTTTATATCAGCAAGGGGCACAAGACCAGGGAAGGGCATCCAGGTTGCATCAGTTTTAGGGAAGCTTTACCTTTTTTTTGAGTATTCTTTCATCTCAGTGAATACCCATGACACAGAGGGTAGAAAAAACTTCCTGTTCTTTTGCAGCCCGTCTGCTTTTTAGTGCTGTGTCTGTAACGTTCGTGGCCTTTTTTTTTTTTTTTGTAAATTGGTGCTTTGCAACTTACAAAACATTTGCATAAAAGACAGTATAGTATCCCCACTGTGTTTGTGAAAAGTTGACTACCCCCATGGCATTCACAATACAATGTTATTTGTCATAATATCTCAAGACAAACTCCTAAATCAGACTGTCCCAGATTACTACTCATTGGCTAGGTAAGCATTAGATACCCTGTTAATGTTTACATAAATGTCATTGAAATATCAATAAGAGAAAGGTAGTAAATCTCACTGTGCTAATGAGGGAATGACAGAAAGACTGAATAAGTTGCCCCAAAAGATACAATGTGGGGAAACTAAGGCTGGGAACCAGGTCATTGAATCCAGCGCCTGTGATTTTTACACACTCATAGTGCACTCATATTCCCATTATATTCAAATAGGAAACCTGACTCAGAGTTTGAAAGCTTTGAAGTCCCAGCTAGTAAAGAGGAAGAGCTGGGACTGGAACCCTGGTCTGTTACCTGAGCTGGTCTCCCTGTCCTGGAACCAGAGGCTGATTCAGTGGAGAAAGCCACTGGACAAGAGAACAAATATGGGGGTGACCCCCACCAATATAAAGGAAACAGGACTGGGAGCAGACCCTATTTCTCTTACCCCTCCCCCAAAAGATGTTTGGCCAATCCCCAAAGCCTCAGTGAGTCAGGCCTGGAGTGATGGGTGTGGTGCTGCCCCGAGTTTCCTTCCTTTGCCTTCGGCTGTGCCAAAGGAGCCAGAGAGGAGACTAAACCTCTACCCAGATAGCTACTTGTTATTGTTGGGGGCAGGGGCGAAGGAGGAGAGGCTAGGAGAGTGGGGGGCGGGGAGGGGTTTGGGGAGGGTAGAAGAAAGATCTGGGGCTAGTCACCCCAGCTTTGGTGCCAGCAGGTGGAGGAGGCCCAACACTTGGATAAGGGAAGGGTCGAACCAGGAGCTCAATGGGAAAGAACCTGGAGGTCAGTGGAGTGTCTGCCCTATTGTTGGTGAGTTGTAAGACCCTGAAGAAAACTCACTTCAGTAAGCTTCTATTTCCACCTTCAGGATGTGAGGAAATAAGATCAGAGTTGAGAGAGTAATGACTAATAATATCTAAAATTGCACAGCACATTTTACAGTTTATAAAACACTTTTACAAACCTCAGCTCATTTGATCCTCAAAAAAATCGAGAGGTGACAAGGTGGTTATTGCTAATTATCCCTACTTTACAGACTGGGAAAAACTTTTGGCTAGAAATTTAGGTGTCACGCATCGGTTGCCCTGCTTTTAAGTGACAGAGCTGGAACAAAGGCCCTGACCTAGCAAAGGTTGACTGTGTCGTCCACGAGAACTTAGTGATGGGGCCCTAGGAGAATGACGCTCTCAAAATTTCTTGAATCCTCTTCTGACACACGGGGTAGAGTCGCTGACTCTGGGCAGCAACTAGGGGGCGCTGAGATTCTCCATAAATATTGAGGAGCGTTAGGACCCAGAAAAGTATGACCGCCCACCGGGAAAAAAACTATTCCATTTGCCCAGCCAGTCGCACCGCCTCCTTCCCGCCCACCTGTCAGTCTTCGTACAGCACAGCCAATAGACATCTTCCACATCTTTATACGTCATCATTCCACGCCTGCATATATTTTAGGACACCCCATCGAGTTCCTGGTCGCAGTTGTCTTCAGAATTGCCTGATCGCAAAGTTTAGATGGCAACGCATTAACTTAGGAAAACTGGATCCCCTGGCCACCAGGGATAAAACCAAAGTCCTAGGACAGTTTTCCTTTCCTTGGAAACGCTTGATGGGGTCTGAGGCGATCCCCCTGGGTGTCCATGAGCTGGCAGTTATGGCTGTGGCCTTTGGGTCCTGCTGGGTGGCGGTCGCATGCAGCTCCTATGAGGCCCGTGTCGCCAGTCGGCGATGTCCGACTGGAGTTGTCGCCGCCGCCGCTGCCACTGCCGGCCGTGAGCGGGTCTCTGGTCAGGTCGTCCGGGCGTCTCATGGCCGCGAGCAGCCCCCTGGTGTCCGACCGGCTGCGCCTGCCGCTCTGTTTTATCGGCGTCTTTGTCTGCTATTTCTACTATGGAATACTGCAGGAAAAGATGTGAGCGAATCCCCGCTGCTGGAACCCAGAAATTCCCCCCAGCCGGCGGCCCGATTCGCGGACCTCCTGCCCTGGCCCACTGGTCCCAACCCCCCGCCCCCACCCCTCCCTCCAAGTACCCCGACGCCTTTGCCGCTGAGACTGAGCCTTCCAAGATTCCTATAGAACGGAAGTTGGTCTCTGGATTCTCGGGACCTGGTTATTTTCATTCCCTTTGTTGCTTTCCCCCCTGTTGGTTCTGAGGGCCTGGGTTTCACAGACTGAGTTTTCCTTGCTGCCTTCTCTTTGAAACTTCCATGTGGTCGTAGACAGCTGATTCGTTCGCCCTCGGCCCTCTCTAGCCCACATACATTATCATGCTGCCTGGGGTACCTTGTTTCACCGTCTGATTTTCCATGGTTCCTCTAGCACCGTCCTTTATGGATATTTTCGTTCTGGGCTCGTAGCAGGCTGGAATGTCTACTTTTTAGATTCAGTAAAATCAGCCCACTTTGTAGATGAGCCTCTAGAGTCAAGATACTTTGAAATCTTTCAGTGACTCTGACATGCAAGATGAAACTGAGTGAAATTTACCGATTCCTCTTCTCTCATTCTTAGAACAAGAGGAAAGTATGGGGAGGGAGCCAAGCAGGAGACGTTCACTTTTGCCTTAACTTTGGTCTTCATTCAATGTGTGATCAATGCTGTGTTTGCCAAGATCTGTGAGTACCTAGCTAGTAACCTGTTGTGTGCCACCCCCCCCACCCACACACACTTTATGTCCCATTTATGTCCTCTAATGTCCTGGGTATTAGACAATGATCCAACATCAATGTCTTACTTTCAAGAACCCCACTCCCTTTAACACTTAACTCCATCTATAAAGCTAATGGTTTTGGAACTGGGTAAGTCTTCATTTCCTTACCTTGGCCAACTTCTGAGTTAGAAATGGGTTCTGTGTTCCAGGCCACACTGAGAATACTTAATTTTTTTTCTTTGTCCCCTTGATTTTCCTTCATGTGTCAGTTTCAAGCATGTTTTGAGCATTCTCTTTGTTCCTTGGGTGCCAGTAGCAGACTATCTAGTCCCTTAAACTGACTGAGACCACCACTTCTGCCCTACATTGGTTTGTTCTAGGTTTAGGTGGAAGTAGAGAATTGAATAATCTTCAGAGATTTCCCAATCCAGGAAGACAGAAAGAACTTGTGTTTCTGTTCTTACTTGATAGACAAGTACCTTTCATATAGCTTCAGCGTCTGCTTAGTGATCCATTCTAGACCCACTGGATTTCTCCTGTATATTTGTGTGTGTGTGCTTTTTGTTTTTTTTTTTTGTCTTCTCCCAGTGATCCAGTTTTTTGACACTGCCAGGGTGGATCGCACTCGGAGCTGGCTCTATGCTGCCTGTTCTATATCCTATCTGGGTGCCATGGTCTCCAGCAATTCAGCACTACAGTTTGTCAACTACCCAACTCAGGTGAAATCTCAGGGTGGGATGAGGGTTGGCTCAGAGTTGCTTGAAAAGAACTAAGGATTCTTCCCTCAGGTCTGTGACTTAGATAAAAAGTGTGTCTGACAGATTCAGAGTGTAAAGAGCCATCCATCTGAGGCTTGGTGGTGGTTGGTTGACCATGATAGGGCTGCTTCCAGAGGCTGCAGTCTCTCGTGCAGGCCCACACTTACTCATCTTAACATAACACCTAATACAGTACTTTACATATCACAGATCCTCAGAAATTATTTGCTGAATTTAATTTCAGGTCCTTGGTAAATCCTGCAAGCCAATCCCAGGTAAGCCGAAGAAGATGGATTCCATCTTCCACCCTCATTCTTCCCGTAGTAAGCTCTCTCCTCTTCTAGTACTCTGTATCCCTCCAGGCTTCATCATCCCTTCATAGCTGTCTCCAAGGATTTCCCTCCATCCTTTCTCCCTGTCCACCCTGTCACCTGTATCACTTCCTGTGGTGTTAGGTGTGCAGCCCTTACTGGGAGCTAGAGGCTGACCTAGTCTGTCACACGGTCAGTCATTTGGTGTCCCATGTACTTAACATTGTCATTAGCTACCCTAAATGCCATTTTTATTGTTACTCTCTCAACCTCTCACTTTCCCTCACTGTCCCCACCCTTACCCTGTTCCCTCCTGGACCTTTCACCTTTGCTCCCTACCTTTCCCTGCCTTATACTCTTGTCAACCCTGTTACTCAATCGTTTTTATCTCCATGCCAGCCTTGCACCTTCCTCTTATCCTCTCTGGAGCTTCCACTTCAAAATTCTTTTCTCTCATGATTCTTTTTCTTGGCTCCTAGGAGGAGGAGAGTTCTGGGCTCATCCGTGCCTATGGGTGCCTGACTTTTCTATTTTGTTTCTTCCCTGTAGTCATGCTTCTTGGAGTGACCCTGTTAAAGAAGAAGTATCCAATGGCCAAGTACATGTGTGTGTTGCTAATTGTGGCTGGAGTGGCCCTTTTTATGTACAAGCCCAAGAAAGTAGCAGGGATGGAAGAACACACAGTTGGCTATGGAGAGCTGCTTCTGGTACGCAATTCTGCTGGGAACGGCAGCCTTTTCCAGTAATCTTAGCAAGGCACATCCCAACCTAGGCAGGCGGCACCGATGTATGTGTTAAGGAAGGTTGAGATTTTCCTTGTCCTCCACTTCTAAGTTTTGTCTCTTGCTCAGCCCATGTCTCTGCTAAAGCCGTAGTGGGGAGCCTGAGATATTTAACTACGGCTCATCTCTCCCTCTGGGGGAGCGATGACTCCAAGGCCTGTGTGTAAATGCTGGTGTGAGGACGCAAAGATCTGAAGGCAAAGAGGGAAGGAGCTTTGTGTCTTTAACTGGAAACAGTTAAAAATAATGCTGTAGAAGCTATTCCTTACTGTGTATTTGGCCCTGTTTCAATCATTTCACATGTTAATTGATGAATTTTTGTAATAATAACCTCATAACATAGATGGATTACCATTTTACAAGTAAGGAAATAGAGAAGTTTCAGTGACTTGTTCATGATAAAATGACTGTTAGGTGGCAGTATTTGTGGCTAACTTTGCCCAGGCATTGTGACTACAGAATCCAGACTCTGGAACATTATACAAGCTACAAACTGAGAGGCTAAGGGGCTGGGACTAGATTTCCTCTCTCCAACTTTATTAGCAGAATCCATGTGCTCGCCACAACCTGTTCTAGACCATGCCTCCCCACCACCAGGCTTCATTGGAAATGATAGGCTTTCTGCCCTACTCTGATCATATTCTGACTGTGTTGCTCAGTCTGTCATTCCAGTGCCTGGGGCGAGTAGGGATATAGCATGGTCTCACCATACCCCACCTCACCCCCACGATCAAGTGGCAACATTTTGTTCTGAGGATGCAGTCTTAGTATCCTGTCTTGCTTAAGGCAATGACTTTCTGAGGAATCTCAGAAAGGTGAGAGTCCTTTGACATGGGTGTCCTGTCGGCCTTCCCGTGTCACGCTGCACCTTTTCTTTCCCAGCTATTGTCTCTGACCCTGGATGGACTGACCGGTGTTTCCCAGGACCACATGCGGGCTCATTATCAAACAGGTTCCAACCACATGATGTTGAACATCAATCTTTGGTCAACATTGCTGCTGGGAGCTGGTAAGGATCAGTTCTGCTGTTCTTTCCAGGTCTCACCAGAGGGCACACTGCCCTCATACAATTGATCCGTAGCTCATCTGCCAGTGGCTAACTGCCCAGGCCAAAGAGCTGCCTCAGTTCTAAAATGCCCTGTGGCCAAACCCATGGGAAACCTTCCTGGAGAAACTTTAAGCAGCATTCTGTGCCTTGTGCTCATTTCTCACACAATCAGATAGACATGAGCCAGGCATCATGGCAGGACACATAGTAGTAGAACCTGGGAACCAGGGCTGCCCTGGGAACTTGCCCTCTTGTGAGGGAGATGAATATAGTTCATATGTGGTGGGCATTGAATATAGTTCAAGCATGAATGCGTCTGCTTGAAGTCAGAGCTTCTTAGCCTTTTCCAAATCTGCACACCTGTAGAAAGTTGTGTTTGCTCAGCACACTGGGTTAATGGTGAAGGCTGCTGATGGCTGGAGGCGACTATTGCTGGGGCTGCCTCAAGCTGAGGGTGTTTGGAGCTTCGCAACATCTGAAGATCTCTGCTTTCAATCACTTTGCTAGAAACAGCTCATTAACTTCCAAGCCTTTCTTGAAAAACCCTTTAGTTTCTCTAATCAGAAAATGGGAGAAGGTGCCTAAAGGGACAACACAAACTCACTCCATGTTTTCCCACACCCCACCCTCCATCGGAGGACTCTGGTAGCCCATGTGTGTGCGTGGTATGAGCATACAAGATGCCCCTTTCATCTTTTCACATTTCTCCTTAGGAATCTTGTTCACTGGGGAACTCTGGGAGTTCTTGAGCTTTGCTGAAAGATACCCGACCATCATCTATAACATCCTGCTCTTTGGCCTGACCAGTGCTCTGGGTCAGGTGAGTGCTTTGAGTGGCTTGCTTCCCTAAGGGAGACTGGGCTGATGGGGAGAAAGGCTTGCACGATTAGCCCTGGTGTCCTGTTTGTGGCTTTAGGCCTTGTGGCTGATAGCTAGAAACCAGCCTGATCCCACCTCTCTGCCCTTCTTTCTCTAGAGCTTCATCTTCATGACCGTTGTGTATTTTGGTCCTCTGACCTGCTCCATCATCACCACAACTCGAAAATTCTTCACCATTTTGGCCTCTGTGATCCTCTTCGCCAACCCCATCAGCTCCATGCAGTGGGTGGGCACTGTGCTTGTGTTCTTGGGTAAGTGCCCCCCAGAGCATGCGTTTCTGGACCACACAGAAGGACAGTGACAGACCCCTTTTTTTCCTAAACCTGTATATTTATGAAATTTAGTTATTTTATTTTATTTTTTTTAAAGATTTATTTTATTTATTTATACAAGCACTGGGTACAGTCAGAAGCACGGGAAGGTGAGAGAATTCACCAGAGCCAGAGCGGGGAACAGAACAGGCAGACAGACGAAGTACACTGCTGAGGGGAGCAGCGGGCAGCAGGAGAGGTCGGCGCACCATGTGGGACCCTCACCTGGTGGCCGGGGATCAAGAGGTGCTGCAGAGGCTGTGGGCAGCTTTGCAGCCCCGCACTCAACTGCTGCACCACCAGGGGAGACCCGAAATTTAGTTATTTTAGAGTTTCCTTTCTTTCCTAAGAGAAAAGGGAGCATTACCTCTGATCCAGCCTTCCTAAAGAGCCTTTCATTTTAGTGGTCTTCCAGTGACTCGAATTTCCCCTGACACTGAGCACGATAAAATCGTCATACTCACCCCCTGCTGGTTTATACCACAGCACACAAGCTGAGAGAACTCACTCAGAAGCTTTGACTCTTAAGTTTCAGTCTTGCTATGGCTTTTATATATAGATGTTTTATATATAGATGTATGTACATACATGATGCTATTCTGTCTGGGGGTCATTGGGGGGAGTTATGTAAAATCAGTATTTGGAGACTAATTTTATTTAAAGTCCCAATTTTGGAGAACCCAGGCTGACCTCCTCCTCCCAGTCACGGTTAGAATTAATTCCCCCTCCTCACCAATAAAACTATTCTGATTTTCTCCTTTTCCATAGGTCTTGGTCTCGATGCCAAGTTTGGGAAAGGAGCCAAGAAGACATCCCACTAGGAAGAGAGAGAGACTACCTCCACTGCAAGAACTTAAGTTATTATCTCGAGCAGTGATCTCTCGTGGGGAAATGGACACAATAGGAATAAGGAACTGGGTTCCAGTCTGTTTTGTTTTTGTCTTTTTTTTTTTTTAGACAATGAAATCACATATTCTTAAAAAATCACTTGGATTTTAACAAGACAGAGTTGGCAGTTTCTGTTCTTGATGACCTGAAGCATAGTACAGAGAAAGAAAGAAGGAAGAAACTGAGTTTGGTGTTCATTGCCCAAGCTGCTCCCTCTCGGGTGTGGTTAGCCTGGTGGGGTGGCTGATTCCCCAAGAGCCTAAGCAAAATAGGAAGGAATTATAATTGGTTGAATAGTTGTGCTTGTGACCTCTGTTCCCCCTGGTGAGGGTCTGAATATGCCAAGACAGCCAGAGAATGGAAAAATTACTTTCTCCCTTAAAGTTTTGATGGACAGTTATTTCCTTCAAAAGTGTGTTCTCTCCACAAGAAGCTTTTAAGGTTGGGGAAAAGTAAGCCCAGAACCTTAGCATCTGCCTCCCCTTTATCTAAAACGCCAAGATCAGAGCTGAGACCTAGTTTGTATGTCATGAACAGCTTTGGAGGGTCTCGTTCCCTCCCTCTTTCTTTGAATTTGTTCCCATTCCACCTGGTCCTCTCCTGGGGAGGCTGGATTAATCCTTTCTGTCCCCTGCCCCCTTCAGCTGCTAAAGCATGGCAGTTCTTTGTCATCCTGGCTGTGCCAAGGTGTCACTACGCCAGCTTCTGCCTGTTGAAAGGGATGCTGGTGGCTGAGTCCGGGCACAGAGCCGCTGTCAAGTTTTCTAGTGGCAATGGGGGGAGAAGGCGGAGCATGGAGCAGGGCCACCTGCCCGCTGCTGCCTTCAGAATTGGAAATCGCAATCCTCCAAGGACCAAACTTTACACATGAAAGTGCATTTCTACCAGCTGCAACTTTCACTCCATCTGTTCAGCAGCCCCAGCCCCTTGGCTCTCCAGATGGGAACCCAGCCTCCTTCCTGCACGGCTGCCTCGCCACCCTCCACCCAGCCTTTCAAACCCTACCTCACTTGCACTCATCTTACTCTCTAGGGGCTTGGGTGTCAGTGCAACTCTGCTCCCAAAGGTTCCCTCTTATTTTGAACTCCTTGAGAGAGGAGGTTTTAAGTACATCTGACTGAACTTCCTTTCTCCTCTTGTTTTTCATCCTGAAGGTTGCATGAATTAGATCTTTCCCTATTAGGCCAGTAGTTCTCCCAAACTGTCTCCTTGGTTCGGTGGTCACAACATGTCCCCAGGGCCAGGGGCCTACAAGCAATCCTTGTCTGGGCCTGTTTTAACGAGACATTTTCCCAGACCAGACCAATCCCCTCCACCTCTACCCCTTGCCTTTCCCAACTCACTCTCAGACATGGGCACCTAGAACAACACAGGATTTCAACAGCCCTGCATGCCTCTTGCCTAATGCTGGAGAAATAGCTTATAGCACAAGCCTGTCCTGACAACAGTGGGCTAGGAGCCCAGTCCTGGAATATTCATTTGGTGCCCTATCCATTCATCCAACACCTACTTCCTTTTGTGTGGCATGTACTGTGAACCTGCTGGGAGTTCAAAGTTGAGTAGGACCAGTCTTTACCCTTTAGGGGGTTCCCAGTCTGATGGGGAGATGGCAAACAAATCCTTGCATCTCAGAAATGCAGGGATAACAAAGGAAGGTGTCTGGGCAAGGTGAGGCTTGAACTGAAGAGTGTGGGAAGATGAAAGGAGGAGGAAATGAAGCTTTGGCTCCACTGCCAAGTGAGAAATGGGACTTTAAACTGCCTGACTTCCCCCCATGCTCCTGCCAGTTTAAGTGTAAGTGCAGGGCCAGGCGGGTGGCTCTGCAGTGAGGCATCGTTCAGCTTCCCTGCAAAATTTTTGAAAATGTGTCAGTTGCCAGTTTGTTCAGGGTGGCATCCTTACCAACAAGATCACAGGAACCGAGAGTGCCAAGTTAGACTAAAGTCAGCAACACTCTTGTTAGGGTATAATAGGGCTGATAAATGTGAAATACCAGACAAGTTCAAACGAAAGTATTGTTGATCTCTAACCCTGGGCGGCCTGATGCCTCAGGTTTCTAAAGATCAAAGTACTTTGATCTGTAGTTAATTCTCAGCTATGTGTTAAAGGGAGGGAACAAGCACACGGTTTTCCAAACACTGTGTTTTTAGTTTGGGTTGTATTGTACTTAACGTCTATTTTTGTTCAAACCGTCAGGTTCATCTCTTTTGCTGTCTCTGCACAGCCTTGTGGTAAAGTGGTTTTTCCGTTTCCTGTACACCTCTTAGCCTAGGGCATGGGGAGTGACCCACAAATGTGATTTTTGGGTAAAAACAGAGGGAGATCTATTCTGGAATTAAACTTTAAAAGAAAGCAAATTATACATGGTTTTTCAAAAGGCTTAAGGGGGTCGGAATTAAAAAGTCATTTGGGTCATCTTTGAAGGGAGGTATTTAGGAATAGATGTGCTTTGTCACAGCCCTTTAACACCCTTGTGGAGAAGACTGAGCAAACACCTGTACTTTCAGTAGTGAGAAACACATTGGGGAAGATTGGGTGACCTGTGGTAGATGCCTGGATCAGTCCCTGAGAGAGTAACTAGAACTTCAGACTGCTGAGTTCTAGTCGTGTCTTGGACCTGCACCCTCTGAGGGTGAGAAGCAAAACCCCTCAGGAGGCTCATTGCTCTGCCGTCTGGTCCCACTTGTCAGTGGAACAGCCTGAGTTTTATATGAGTAGTGCTGGTCACTCCCCAGATGCCCTGGCAGAGAAATTGTCCTGCCTCCCTACGGCATCATGCAGCCCTTCCCACTGAAAACGCACCAGCTGTCTTAAGGAATAGCAAGCTCATATTTATTTTAGCTCATTTCCCCAAGCTCTATAGTTCATGACACTCTGTCCTTTTGATACTCCTGGGGAGAGCGAGTCTCCCCACATTTGGAATAGTGCGTCTGAAACCCACCAGAGTGCATGGGCTGAAGGTCACAGGACTGCATCCACAGGCAGGGCCCGGAAGTGAGTCTGCTGACCATGTGTCAGCTCGGGGAGCTAAGCCAGTGGTTACCAGCTGTTTGGATTTCCTGGTCCAGTAGCATTCCCAAATAATAAGGGGAAGGGAGATGTAGCGGAGGAGGCTGATATAGACATGCTAGCTTTTTTTCCCCAAGTAAGGACATTAAAATGTCTAGTACCACTATTATGGCTTAAAGGGGACATTTAATGATTTTTTTGCCTTTTTTTTTCTCCCTGCTTCCTTCCACTGCTGATAGGTTTCCTCTTTTATTGAGCCACCACACCTTAAAATGAAGTCTTGTTAACACTGAAACCATTCTAATGGGTTTTTGGTTTGGTTTTGCTTGTTATTTAGAGAAACGAAACCAGGTGCAAATTCATTCTTTTTATTTGAGGTATTTTATGCAAAAAAGCATTTTTCATGGAAAAGGACATTTTAACTCCAAAAATTTTAGGAAGAGCTATCCACCTCAGTCAGAATGAAGAGCCCTTCTTCCAAACAAATGCTAAAAGTTGGCAGTCGCCATTAGCTAAGACAATAAATGTTTAATTGCAGAAGATGGTCAACACGAATGTTACCCCATGGTAATACACTGAGGGTATGTGCTTAGGAGTGTTTGCTCCCTATGACTTGGTAAGTTTGGGGCCTGTGCTCCACAGTACAGTCTGCGGGAGTGTGAATGTCTTGGAAGTATGCTGAAAAAGATGGAAGCAAGGTTTTACATCATTTAGAACATTCCAGAGAGAGACTGAGAACAACATAGCCCCGACCCTGGGCCCCTTCCCTCTACAGGGCCTAGGGGAGGGTAGCTCAGAGGCTTTCCACTAAGGGCTGCAGGAGGAGACTCAGCACCCCTGCTCCAAGACCCACTCCCGGGATGTCCAGGTCATGGCTTTGATCACTCCGCTCAGAGCATCTAGAGTTTATTCTGGAAGGATTTCCCAAACTGATGAGAGCCAGCTTCTTATAGGCACACTTCTCAGACTGGGAGCAGTGGGTGATGCCTGCCATTGGCAAGATGGGTGGGAAGGGGACCAAGAAGGTCTTGGATGAAGAGTGATTGCATTCAGTGCCACTGCTGAGGCACGAGTCCCTGAGGGCTGGCAAGTATTCTGTCTGAATATGCCTGACTCCCCGTTATTTCTGAGAAGAGGTGGAAGAGGGAAGAGGTTCAAGACATTTACTGAGGGTTGGGGGATGGAGCGTCTCTTCCTGCCCACTTCTGTATTTCATCGCAGAGCGTGGGTGGTCACAGCTAGCAGAAGCTCTGTGCTTCAGCTTAGGTTCTGACTGGACACATTTCTTCCTACTCAAGACCCTGGAGCTGCCACATGCAGGCCACAACCCTAAAGGGAAGGTGTCACTTAATAGAAACCAAGAATGTCTTAAAATTTTACATAGATGAATGTGCGTGTCTGCACACTGGCATGAGTGCTCATGAATATATCAAGCTGGTATGTTCATTTTTCTGTAAAACAGGGCCGCAGCTCTCTTACCAGTCTCAAAGGAATCCACACATAGGGTCCATCATAGTCCTGGGACTCATTTAATGAAAAGTGTTCTCCCAAACAGAGTTGTCTAGGCACCACTATAAAACATAAGAAAGCAGCACCTCCGTGGAGGTGAGCTTTGCTCAGCAGAGGGGTGAGCTTGAGGTGTGATCCCAAAGACAGTAACCTGTTCAATATCATGTCTCCTTGCCCCTCCACACTACTTAGGCTTGTGAGATTCAGCAAATAAAGATACACAATACTGAACTAAATTCAAATTCAAATTCAAATTTCAGGTAAACACATAATTTGTTATCACAAATATGTCCCGTGCAATACTTAGGACACGCTTGTCCTAAAATTAATTCATGCAGTATTTGACACAGACCAAACAATTACGTGTTTATCTGAAATTCAAATTTAATGGGCTACTACCCGGCAACCCCGTTTGGTGGCACAAGCCATTATTATGCATGTTCTACATGTCCCTCCTTTCCTAGAAGAAAGAAGGCACTCTCGGATGCGTCACAGCCTGCAGCTCTAAGCGGGGGGGGGGCTTCCAG